TTAGAGTTTTAAAGATATATAAGAATAAAAAATTAACTCCATATAATAGGAAACCAATGAAAACAAAAATGAATGGAATCTAATTAAAGAATAGAGGATCTATTCCTTTTTCTTAAAATTTCTAAGATGCCTAAAAGTAATATGAGCAATCAGGTTAATTTAACCCTTAGTATGTAGGAAAAGTAACAAAAGTAATGAACATTTAAAAAATAGAAATTATTTATCCATATATTAAATCCTTTTATTGCATACCATCAATAATAATTTTAGGATCTAAACAATTTAATACTATTTTATATTATGAATTATTAAGGTGAAGATCATAGTTACCATTTTGGTTTAATTACCAAAGTTATAGTTTATTAATAAAGTTTTCTAATAATTCTATTCTACACTCAGAGTCACAACCATCTCCATTTTCTAGATTTCCATCTTCACAATTTTTTCTTATTCATAAGCAACAATTCCATCTCCACATTATGTGATGCAAACTTAATTTTAATAATCAGTATAATAACCAGGAATTGATTCACTTAACTCGCAATCATTTCTATAACATGATGTACATAAATTTGATTCGTTTTTACAAGTTATACAATTTTTCACATTGCCAACATTTATCTTAAACTGGATAAAACCCTTGCAATCAATTATGACATATGAGATTGAATTAATTTATACTTTAACAATCCTTACAATATTTTTAAAAAGTCTTGCAAATAGAATAAGTTTAGCCATGACATATATATCCTTTTTAAATTTTGTAATTATTACATCCTTATTAATTTGGATTATCACATTCTTCTTCTTATTTATTGATTAATCCATCTCCACAAATTGAAACACATCTATTGAATTCGAATGTAAATCCATCATTACATTTTAGACATTTTCCATAATAACAAATAGCACATTCTTTTTATATATTGCAATTTTCATATTAAATTAATTCACAATTAGAACAACGATCATAATTATCAATATTATTAAATATAAACAGTAATACCATCATCACATTACTCTTATCTTTAAATTATTTAATCTCCACAAATTGTTTCACTTAAATTATTTAAATAAATTCAAATTAACAAATGAAGAAAAATATCATTAGAAAAATTTATTAATTTGTAACTTTATTGTAATTCTAACATAAGCAAATATTCACCTCTAAAACAGAATTAACACAATTATTCACATGAATACTTACAATTAAAACAACCATCAAATGGTATAAGATAGTCATCATCGCATTCTTCATTTACAGAAGTTATTTTATCATCACATTTCTATATATCAAATAATTCATCTAAGTTTTCCATAT